AGTGAAAAATTTAGTCGCATTGGCGCCTGTATTAGGTGCAATTTCACGCCCTGGTAGGATCCCTTTTTTTCTCCTTCATTAACCCAGTAACAAGTAAGATCTGACTAGTAGTTTCTCCTTCCAATGACTGCACATTTTCTGGTATTTTAGTGAGGAGAATTTGGTAATACATCCACATAGCACCCCTGTGGATGATACAGTTGTCTTTTCTCATCACTTGTTTGCCATAAGATGTATTGAAATTGTGGAGAGTTTATGTTTTGCTCATTTCTGGGAGCTAAAGGATTAATCGTACATTTTGACTGTTCTTCTTTTGCAGCTTTTCTGATGCACCATGTCCTTCAAGCATTTGTTCTCCTTAGAGTGTGAAAATTTTTTCCGTTGTCTAAAATAGATTTTGCCATCTTTAAATAAATACATCTAGAAAAGTATTGCCCCAGCAAAATTGGATTTCATGGCTTTTTTTTCAGGGCACGAAAATTTTGGCATGTATTTTTTAGTGAACACGAAGGGAAGGTTTCGTTCGTTTTTAAAACTGTGAAAACAAGTGAAAACAAAATAATAACAACAACGATAACAGTTAAAGGTGATAGATCTTTTATAAAAAGGAAAACGAACCATTACCCCTTCTCCCTGACGAACCGCCTTATTTTGCTCAACCATTTTAAACCTAAGATTGGTATTCACATTTTCCACACTGTTCTCTACACATTTTCTATGATACTGACAAGGAGAATTTGTTTGACAATCAGGAGCTTCTTAAAGTGGTCATCTTTTCTTATATTCGGTTGAACTTTACATTTGATACAAGGAGGCTGCTGCCCGCGTAAGGAGAAAGTAGAAGCCAGACACTTTTGTGGATTAAAGGGTTAAAAACTTAATTTTTTTTTAGTGTTGTGTTTTCAGAAGCTGTATTTTTGAATAGTTTTTATTTAATTTGACTTTTCCTTTGACGAGGAAATACAATCCAAACATTTCAATATTTCTGTAGGCTATGTAGCATCACATTAACATCTAATGTGAAAAAAAAGCATTTGAAACGTTTTGTAATCCCTTTCTCAAAAAGAAAAGATCACTATACTTTCTTTTCAAGAAAAAAAAGTGTTTGATATCCCACAGTCTCTAAACTTGGAGGAGCTGTCGTTTTGGAAGCCCAAGTTGAACAAGGAATTAGTTACCTTTCCCGCCATTGGTTGAAACCTCCTAACCCCTATCAGGTTGTCATTGTGTAAGTAATCTTCCAACAAATTTATTTGGGTATTTTAGCGTTTCTTCAAGAGCCATGAGTTCATGCTTTCGTTGTATCTTATTGCTGTTCATGTTACATGTCGAGTTTGTACTCCATTTAATTTGGTCGTTTCAGTGAGACAGCCGCCGGACGAGTTATTTCTTCCACTGCGCTCAAGTTTCATTAAAACATGAAGAGCGAACTCGATCCTTTGTTAATATTTGCAGCAGGTGTTTTAACCTGTTTTGAAATTCAAATTAGACGTTTCCTTTCAGTTTTCTTGGTTTCTTCAAACAATCCATATGTATATTTAATGAGCAAACTTTGAGATCTTCGCCAGGCCGAAAGTTTTCAACTAAACTTCTGTCCTCAATAACTAGAACTTCGCTTGATTTACGACGCATAGAACAGTAGAGAAACCATTTCTTAATATCTAAGAAACTCGCTGAACTTAGACAAGACGAACGAGGCTCATTCACTTGGATTTGCAAATAATTTGGGAGAATTTCTCGGAAAGATATCAGCAACATGGGGAAAGACATCGTTCTCGGTGAAGACTGGCTTATCACGCTGTCTGTTATCTACGGCCTGGGAGCTGTTTTGTCCGTCTGGGCGACTATTTTGTCACCAATGCTACTCGATGTCTGGGATACACCGCAAGGGCAGAAAAAGAAGACGGACCGAGACTGGTCTACAATATTTTTGGTGCTTCTGTTACTGCAGCCCGTCACGTTTGCTGGATCAGCAGTGGGAATGTGGTGGATCTCGGCCTTTGCTGTTGTTCCACCAGCTCATTTTGTATTGACGTTTCTATCTTTCTTGGCGATCGACTTCTTTCGTCCGGAAGACGATGTTTTCAGTAAATACAAATACTCTGTTCTCTCGTGAACGATCCTCAATCGAACGTTGTTTTCGTATGCAAAATAGTTGTAAGTTTCAGCGTTCTTATTTGATCTGCGCATGCATTTGGCGATGTGAGTTAATCTCATGTGTTTCCCTTCGTTATTTTAGAGTTTAGTCTGTTTTTAATAGATATTTTTAGTCTCGGGCGAAACACACGTATAACGTAAAACATACACACTTTTTTATATCGGAGTTTGTCCCTAGATACAGGGTACCTGATTATTGTTATCTGTAATTGAAAATATTAATTATCTTTTATGGTTAACACAGCGGTTATTAAACATCTCAACGTCCTCCTGTATCGAAGGACTCAAAATTTGTCGCGAACAGCTCAGATGGAGCGTAGAAACATTATTAAAGCTTTATGCGTTAACTATATGGCCTCCGCTTTGAAAGGACTGAACTGTTAAGATTATTTCGCAGGAAGGAGAAATAAAGGATAATTAAGGGTAATCAATTATTTATTATACGATCACCTCACTTGCACGGATACTAACTTATCATCGTTTTTGTAGTTCTGTTCTCCTAAATAAACCGTGAAAAAAAAATTTTTTTGGAAAATTTCGTTTCACTCGGCCCGAAGTTCTCCCATTTCTTTTTTTCTGCCCTTAAAGGTGTAAGAAACCTCCCCCGCTTACGTCATACAATTTGGCAACATTTCCTCCGCATACCACCGTGGGCTCATTCAAAGAAATCCACCCTTCAGAGCCGTCGAATGTGAGTCACATAACCCACGTCTACTCGGAGACTCCGCTGTTGCGGGAAAGGAACCCACGCTTTTTTCCAGAGGAGCGAACGCAACTAGCAGCAGTTGTTGAGCTCAAATTAGTCTTTTAGTTTCTCTCAAATTTGTTGATTTAGTGTGCTAAGCATTTCATCGGAAACCACTAAAAAGAAATACACCCTTCAGCTAGAAATTGGAAAATGTTTGAATTTTGTTTGACCTCATAATCCAAATGGTAGGCGAGGGGCGGATTTGAAGCCGTAATGCTGTTATCAGTCCGACAACGCAATTTTCCTTCCTCAGTGCGCGAAAAACACGGAAGGTAATAAAATTGTTCGCGAAACAAGTATACTCCCTGAAGGTTACAACCAAACAGAAATAAAGATTAACCTCTGAGAAGAGATTTGTCCGTCGGTTTTCCATGAGATCTTTTCATGTCATTTGGTAGGTATGATGTCACAGATGTTTGCATATGAAATTTCGGGATGAAATGCAGAACTCTGGCAGATTTTTCGCCTTTACACTTTCAGTTAATAAGGCCACTTCAAATGAGCAAGCCAGTTTGAAAAAACCAAACAAACACGCAAAGTAATTAAAAAAAGGTTTGCTGCGGAAGCGCGAATAATGTTCATAACTGTTGTTTTGCTTCCAGCTTTACGAAAGGAAAATACAAAAAACAAATTTATTTCTATCCTTTTGACGCAGAATATCTTCTGAACCTTGCACCTTTGCAGGATTTATGAGGCTGACAATAAATATTTGCAAATTCAACATGAACGTCTTATTTCTGACGTTCAGTACTAAGTTTGGCAAATAAGTTGGTTAGTTTTCTTTCAAAAGCGCCTCTTAGGGTAAAAAGCTCTTCAAATTTTTTTTTGTTTCAATGCTTCCTCAATTTGTTCAGGAAGAACCCCATGGTAAATAATGGGTGGTGCGCGAACGATTTGTTGTTATCACGTGTTTCCGTCACTCGCTCATGAAAAAGGTCTTTTTCATATCACTAGCAATTGATTTATTGCGGTTATTTTAATATTCCTTTTCCTGCCCGTCGAAATTAAGCCAATAACTGTTGGGATAATCCGTTTTTATCGCATCTGACTACTTGGCAAATTAATCCTCAGAAAGAAGGGCTTCTTTTCATCTGTAAGATTATAAAAACCTAGTCGTGCTAAATGACAAGCCGCACGCTTTTATTTGATCTTGTTAAAGAGCGACAGAGTACAATTAGGAATCATCTAGTGCCTCATTTAGAAGTTCATTACACCTTGTAATTGCGAGCAAAACTTCTGCGGAAATTAGTATTATCATTGAATCACTTATTGACCAATTTGAAATTTGTGAATTTTTCGTTTCTCGTGGGTAGTAAAATCATAGTACAAAATGGTGTATACCTTTTGTTTTTCAGTTCTGAAAGGTTTTCTTTAAATTGGATGTAATTCAAACTGAACATCTGTTGTTTGTGTTTTGGTATATCATCTCAGCGCCCAGAAATTGAAAATAATTTATTATCTCAATGAATGTTGACCAATTGCCAAGCGATCAGAGGATAGAATGGTTTTTAAAAGCACCGACTAGTAACAAAACGAGACACACCACAGATTAAAAGCACATGTTTACTTAAATTTATCCAGTCGCACATCGAATCATTGTTCTGGAACCACCTCGGCTAATATCTCGGTGAATTGCCTTTTAAAAGTCCTCTTCTAAACATCAAACAGCAAGGTAAGAAATTAATTTATTTCTGGCAAAAATGTATATTCTGTTGAATTTTTTGAGATGCCTCTTAGGACTTTTTTGATAGAGTAGGGACAGAAGCAGTCTAGTTTTTGAGGTCAAAACTCAACGACGTCAATGAAAACTTGAACTTAAATCAGGAAAACCAACTTGTTTTGATGCTTTCAAGTAAGTTTTCTCTTAAAAGACAAAGGAACTATAAAATTCAAATGAAAATAAGTACTACATACAAGTTGATCTATCGTTACTGCCTCGGTTTAGAGGCAATTCATTTTACACGAGTGAAGTGTGCTTAAAACTCGGTGAGTGTTCTCCGAAGTTCAATCTAACGTTATCGGCAAATTTTCGTGTGATCATACAGAGGCACATTTCTTCACTCGTTTAAGTGCACAATACGAACAAATTTTGAAAAACATAAAAACTGGTCAAATTTGGGATACCTGGACGGGCGCTTTGATTTTTCAGGCTGCAGTAGTCAGCCGGATGAAATTCATTAAGATATTCCTCACATCGAGAAAAATTTAAAATAAAAAGGACTAAATTTTATTCTGTATCTTTTCTGTTCGAAATTGAGCAGAATTCTTTGTCAAAAGAAAATTGCGATTCTCCGACAGAACAGCACACCTTTATGAGTTTCCCACGGAATATTTTTGTTCAGGCTTAAGGAGTGGTTTAAATTCGTAGTTAGCGGTATTGCAACGATTTCTCTGAAGTTCTTTCCGATCATCTTTATCTAATAAGATCACTTCGATGAAAAATTTATCATAATCCTACAAAAAAAAGCCATTGTCGATGGTTAAAACCATGATTCCCGTGGTTTTTCAAGAAGACAAGATCGACTTCAAATTGACTTCCATTATTTTTTAAGTGCGTATCGGCTGACCCAGGCCACAGAAGAAACAAAAGCTTTGTTTCGCCACAAAATAACGCATTTGACGCACGGGTTCCTTTCCCTGCGTTGGTCTGGTTCCAGCAGAGTTTAATGTTCTCTCAATAAATTTATCTCATTTTGAGCTAAATATATTACTTACGCATTAAACCAGCATGGTGCATATTCAAAACGTTTTGTTTATTTACATTTTCTGGCGGTTATCTGGCACTTTAATATCAATTCAACAACAATAAAGTGTTTTTATTGCCACAATTACCCGTCGTATAACAGCCATTAGTTACCTAAAGTAACAAATGCTGAACTGGTATAAATCACACCTAGAGTCATGTGGATGTAATTCAACAGTCTTTATGTCCCACCTTTTTTCAATTCTGACAATCTAGCATCAACGATTGTAGCTAAAAAAGCGTTTAGTACATTGAATCAACGAAAAGCTCTCAAACATAGTACAAAAAAAACGGAAATTTTGGGCAGTTATTTTTATTTTCTATCCTCTTCACAATAAGCTGAAACAGTTCCGTAAAATCAGTTGGACATCTTCCTTTCATTTTGAAATATGAGCAAAATTAAAATGAAACATTGAATAAAATCGTGATGTCACAAAAGTTGCACGCTTCAGGGAGCATTTTCATTAAAATGTAAAAATTAAAATTGAAGCAAGATGTGTAAGATCTAGAACAGTTTATAAAATTGAAGAACGTTCAGAGCATACAATTTTCCATTAACAATTTATTGGAGAAGGGTCTTTATTACAAATTTTTGAGACAATAGAATGTGCATGCTAAATCGGTGAGTGGGGTCTCCTTCAAAAACTTACTGATCTACGCAATGAAATGCAAAAAGAAAAAAGTGCTTGCGAGTTTGTGTAGGAGAATTGACGCACTCAGATTTCTCTGAACTGAGATAAGGAGCTTTAAATCTTTGTTAAGCACAGCTATGGTGCTTGCAAGAGATCTGAAATGACCTAGCTAATTGAAAAATTTAACAGGCCTTTTTGGAAAATTTTTAACATAATCTGCATGAATTTCCTGAAAGAGTTCAATTTACTGGTACGGCCGTGCAGCTCTGACTTACAACGAAATTCTTCTTTTGAATAGACTTGTCTACAAAGCTGGGTCTGATCAGCTGTATGTTAGTAAGCTGGGAGCCAGATGGAAGGCAAACTTGGTCTCAGTCAACTCCTATGTGGGGAGGGAAAGGGGCTCAGCGGGAATAAATAGGGTAAATAGCGAATGAGAAAAACGGCCGAAAACTCTTTAGAGATAGGACATGGATTCAGGGGTAACGTTAACAAGTGGAGCTGACAGCTGTTTGGTGGTCGGAGTTTTATGATGTGTTATGCACATGGCAATTACAAGATCACTTATCATCTCTTGGTGCACTTAAACCACAATGTCATCTAAGTCACGGAAGCTTGAAATACTCTTGAAAAAAAGAGCAAAAAAAAAAAGAAAAAGGAAAAAAAATGACGTTCAAAGGTTTCAAACAAAGCAGTGTGTGCTTTGTTTTCCTCTTTTCTGATATATTCCTAAAATCAAATTGGGATAAAGCTCAGGATTCCTATTTTAGTGTTAAGGATATCTTTTTCAAGGAAAAGATGTAAAAATCAAACTTTGCCTAAGACTATTTCGATGATAGATCGGCCAGTAGTAAACACTTGCTGCTAAATGCTTCTCTATTTTTAGCAAATCGCTGACTTTTTCTGACGTATCGCTTTTTTTCTCTGGTTCTCGTTTAAATTACAACCTTTTTTCCATAACTTTTTTTATCGGCTATTCTCACCATTATTTTTGAAAGACCGAGAGGTTGAAATTTTATTGAACGCAAACGGTGAATTAATGTCTTAATATCAAAACTTATTATTCGAAAGCAACTCTAATGTTGGCTTGGCAAAGCAAATGCGAAACTAATTTAAGAACCTGATTAATTAATTTGTTGTTTTTTTTTTTTTAACAAGGACAGCCCTGCACTTGACGTAAATGACAAGGATTTTTTTTAAAGAATTTCAAAAGAAATTTAAATTTGTTTCCAGTGTTTACATCGCAAATGTTAAGAGGGATTGATTACGTAACAAATGGAAGATTTATTTCTAGTGAAGTGGATAACTTTGCCATTGACGTACATTAGGAAAGCTGTTGAAAAATTCATCAATTCTGGCAACATCCCGGCAAAATCATCGTAAACCATTCTTTTGTTCTTTTTAGTATTGTTATTTTTTCGGTCCGTTTGCATGTGTTTTCCTAAACCGTCTTAAAAATCAGAAACCAATTATTTTAATTTTGCGATCTTCTTTGCTTGTGAGGTGGTCACAAATGTCGTTGACACACGTGAGCAAATTTGAAAAATATACGAAGCCGTTTTAAAATGCTTCCGTCATCACGTGGGATTGTTTCCTGTAGAATGACGTCACAACCTTTTCCGTGGGTTGCTGAAGAATTCGGGTTTTTGTCTGATTCGCATATGATATTCATTTGGAAATGTACACACCTTTCATGAATCATAAATTTAACTATAACTTCTGTAGGGCATCTATACTTTAGTGAAACCAAATTAGTGGTAAATAGATCTAAAACTTATATCACTTAAATCAAAAGGTTTTATGTAATTTGAGCTCATGTTTTGACACGTTTGCTTTATTGATGACCAGCCACCCTTCTAAATGAAGATAAATCGATGGAAAAATGTCAAACGTCGATAGATATAAAAAAGAGATTACATTTTCTGCTTCGCCTTACAGAAACCTGAGATATTTAGGAAGGCAGCCAATTTATCTTAAGGTAAGATATTCTTTCCTTCGAACCGAAGGTGGTATTTGAACTTACCGAGTGGTTGTCATAACAAGCTTTCGTTTCTGCTGAGAAAGGTAATTATCCATCAGATTTGCAAAAAAAAAAAAGCATCCCTCTCACCCACAGAGAATGATTAGAAAAGATCAAATTGAAAATGTGCCACATAACTGAGATTTCACCAGGTTGACGTGGACACGATTCAAAGTGACTATCTTAAACTCTAATGTTCTGATATGGTGAATGAATTCATTCCCAGAGCTTTCAGCTTCTTATCAGTTTGATTTTGCAATCCTCTCTTTATAAGATACACAGATACCGTATATCGTTTGTATCAAGGTGTAATCCATTAATGTTGTAAACGCCCCTAAGGAACAGTTGTCAAAAAGCTTCTTTTCGCAGCAATGCGTCAAGATGTCGATCTCGTATCTGATATTATGTAGTTTCGGTGAGGTTAATCAGGTATTTGAACTGATATACGAGAGACCTTTGTTAAGGGAAAAAAAACCAAAGAAAGTGCGGGGATGTGAACAAACAAGAAACTCACTGATTAAAAGAAATGAGCACAAAAAAGTGAGAACTGATGAGTAACCGAGAACACACGAAATAAAAAAAGGAAATATACCCATGTTTATAGAAAGTGTCAGTAAAGTTTGAAAACGCTTTGGAGCAAAACATGGAGGTGGATTTCAGGGGATTTATTAGAAGACGTTTGCCGTGCAGCATATTAATCACTGAAAGAAGCATATGACCGACCAAACCATGATCACTGTTGTGTTTTCCTTTGATTTTACCACATATTCATCGTTAGACACCTTACTTACAATCATTTTGCAGTGTTTTATACCCTTCTGGGCGCTTAAAAGGTATATTGAATTTGAACATTGGCTTATCTGCTAAAACTGAAATAACTCGAGTTACACACACACATATATATATGACATCAATGGAGATGTTTTGATTGACTAAAAAAAAGGCAGAGATAAGTTATATTAAAAAACAGCGACTCGAGGAATGAAATAACACCAGGCTTCCAGTTTTGAAGTTTTTTGAAGCAATTCTGGCATTTTGATTTCCTTCGCTGGCGGCTTCAAGAAAATTTGAGTTCATAGTAGCGTTTCAACTTCCTCATCCAGTCTTAAGCATTAGAAAAAAAGCCTTATCTAGTAGCAATCTTGAAAAGGAATATGCTTTAGCCAAGACAAACAGCGATAAAACCAACGTGAAATCGTGTACCAGTCTGTTTTCCTTCCTTTCCCCATCACACTTACTTATTATCATAATGCATTGACTTCATCGTTGAGTGCAACAAAAATATCTCTCACTTGATTTTAGTGATAAAAAGCTTAATGAATTTTCGATTTTAAAATGAATAACCCGAACGGCGTTTTTCACTGACTTTTTGTAAATAAAATACGGCGGTATTTTCCTGACCTTTAAAATTGCCATTTGACTTCTAACGATTGCCAAAAAGAGAGTTCTTATGTCTTTATCATAGTCTCTTATCATTAGGTCTCCTAGCATTGGATGAGCAAGCAATCCTACCTGAGTTTTTTTGTCTTTAAGTACTGTTTTATACAGCAGCCCTATTTATCTAGGAGGTTTTACTCGACCGTGCTGCTGCTCAGAATTCGGTACATATCACTTAGAATCAAACTCCCGACTACTGCTCAGACTTCGGCGTCTATCATTCAGAATCAAACTCTCAAGTAGTGCTCATATTTTGTTATACATCACTCAGAATCAAACTCCCTGGTAAAACATAGAAAAAACCAATTATCATTCTCTTGTCAATAAAACACAGCACTAGACGAGCATATAAATTTTTGTGGTACCTGTACCATTATCGAAAATATCTGAAATCAGCGTTTCCATAGTAAGGTTTTGTATTGGGTCACGTGGACTTTTTCTATTGACACTTTCGCTGTAAGAGGTTCATAAACATACGTGTGTTTTTCACTTTCTATTCTTTGTTTTTTTTTCAACAAATTTTCCATAAAAAAGGATCATGATATTTGTAAAACAATGAACGTGAACCCCTTAGATGGATCTTCGTTGTACTTATACTGTTATAGCGTGCGCAATTACTTTCAAAGTCTCCGCTCTTGGTATGTATATAGTTGAGTCTAAACCCGTCAAACGGACGCGGATTAACAAACAGCAGGCGATCTCAAGTTACACTTGCATCTGAATGGGATTGAAAACCGAGGTGGTAGAACATACAGATATGCTGTTAATCTTTTCAAGTCTTTTTTCTTGTTATTGCAACGGAAGCTGCGGTCAGTTTACTGAGTTGTTTGAAAAAAAAATTGATAATAAATTCAGGTCTCCTTCGTAAATGGCAGTTGGTATGTTCAATTAATGACAGTAGTGCAAGTTAAAAGTTGTTAAAAATAGTTATGCAAAGGTTTCAAGATTGTGAGTAAGATCTAATTCTGAATCGGATTTTGATATTCTGTGGATGCCGTGAAATATGATCATATCTTGATTACTTGCGTTCTACAAGAGAACCAAACTGATTATTTTCAAATTGCAATGAACAGAAGTTCAATAAAACACTCTTGTTTTTCACACATGTTCAATTTCCTTAAACCCCCATGTTATTTAAAGGTTTGGCCTGGAAGTTTATTACTTTAACCCTAATTACTGTAACCTCACACGTATTTTAAAACTGTAAAAAAAAGAGCTATTTTTATGCTTTACATAGGCTATTTAGATCGGCCCAATATCAAAACAAAGATGTTTTTTGTACATTTGAGCTCCGGGCATACTAAGATCATTTTTGATTAAAAAAATTAACATATTTTCAAAATAAATGCACTGTAATTAAGTAAGTAAACTCGCTCTGTTTATAAATAGAGTGTTTCTTAATCTGATCCCCATTCTTTACAAAGGAGTAATTATTTCGGGATAGACTAGCATTGGGTGAATTTCGGGTGTGCGTCATGGCTTCACATGATATGCTGTTGTTGGTTTATGAATACCAATCAGAAACCACAAGAGCGCACAGAACAAAAACTCTTATCGATAATTTAGTAATTGAGTTTTGGTTATCGAATATCACCGAACATTCGGTCTTATATGGTCCATACAGAGTTGATTATATTAGGCAGTGAAACGAATAAACTTCGTAGGAGTTGGATTTTTCATGGAAAGAAAAGTCGGCAAATTGTGTTACGAGATGTAAATTATACAGCAAAGAATGTTTGAAAGCTGTTTTAGCTAATAAGTGTATTTTAAGATTTTATTCAAATTCATTTGGCGGAAAAGTGACTTCCACTTTGATCCCAATCATAAAGTTCCTCGGAGGAATTAGTTTGACGCTTGATGTTAAAGGAAGCAAAACAACCCCATGAACAGTGCACAAAAACATGTCTGCAAGGCGAGATAAAAAGGTCTCTGCTTCCGAAATTAGGATGATCCTGAAGAAGGTGTTACGATAAACCATCCACTTGACTTTGATTTCCTCCTCATCTACTGTTACAGATATTTCAGAGTTTGACCATTTGGCCATTTAACCTTCACGGAAAAAGGGCAAAAAACACTTATACAGCTTTTTCGAAAAAGACTGGGACTTCTTGATCTAAAATTAACGATGTTAGTCTTGTTTTAAAGTCGATTCAGATATCACGACTTCTGAGATAGGTTGATAACTTCAAGTGCTCCCTCAGGTGAAACATTTCAGGAAAATACCATTTCTTATGGGGTTTTTTCCTCATCAGCAAAAGAATATACTGTAAGGTATTGACGTAAATGGCTGTAAAGGATGTTATAATGACAAAAAGTGGACGCCTTTATCTTAATTCTAACGTAAACAAACATGTGACCCTTTTAAAAACGGCGCGCATTCTAAACAAAGTCAGTTACCACCTAGAGAAAACGGCGGAGCATCTAACGAGAGCCCCCCATCAATCTAATGTAAGTAAACTCCTCCTGTCTTCTTAAATGTTCTCCTTCCTTAAATCAGATTTCTGCGGAGTGCAAGACAGATTGAAGCAAAATTGCCTAAATTGCAAGACGCGGCGGTAGAAACTGATCAAATAGTTCAATTTAAGTAGAAAATTTAAATAATGAATTTTTGTCTGAAGTACAATCCCACTTCTATTGCGATAATTCTTAGAGAGGGCAATTTTCTATCAAAAAGAGAGAAAGAAAAAGTTTCTAAGACTGATCGCTCGGCAGGGAAATGATCAAAACTCTCGGCGTTATACAATGACATCAACATTTGATATCCCACTCAATTAGGTATATTTGTTAAGCGCTCTTATATCGTAGCTTTCGATTACAGGTACGATCATTTGATTGCGAAAAGGATTTCAAAACATTTACAGCCGCATTTCTCTTCGTCTGATGTAATAGATGACTGTACTTAAAGTTTATTCGTTCGAATCTTATCGACGCCCCAATTTTTCTTTAACTTGCCGCTGACAATTAAGCATCGTTAAAAAAAAGAAGTGTTAATAAGTTTATGAGGAAACTGTACACACGCCGAAAATTCATTAAGCGTTTCTTGGTAAAATGACACCGTAAAAACACCCTTGTTCATCTAGGTTTATTTGCACACTAAATGTAGCGACATCCTCTAACCTTTTTTTTTTGTATTTATTTATTCACGGAAGAACGCCAATGACTAGCGCCAAACAACAGGAAGAAACAACTCTTTTTTTCAATTTTTCACTCACCTTAAGCCTTACGGCTATACAAATTAACCTGCCGTGGTTGCTAAAAAATTTAATTTCCTGTTGGTCTGAATAAAGATTGCTCAATATTTCCTTCATTACTTCATTTCATAAAGTGAAATACAACTCCAGGAGAGGATGTGCATTGTGAGAGGTTGTGCAGTGTGAGACCCGCTCCGTACTTTTGATTCACAGTTGTAAGCTCGTTGACAAGGTTGTGTCGCGCGGTAAAGATAAAAATTTTGCTAGAGAGAAGGATTTAATGCTTACATATGAAAACGAAGGAAATTTTGTTTGTGCGGTGTGAATTAACATACATCTTAGCTAACAGCTGTACAAATTCATTTAACTATCGAAAAAGAGCTTATTGTTCCAAAGTTTGCATTAGAAAGTGGAAATATTTCGCCGTAAATCAATTACTTTAATTAAAATCGTCAGGCGCCGGCCACTATAGGCGTTACAAAACCAACCACAGTGCAGTACGTTCATATCTTATCGAAATCACTGCGAGGCGTTATGTGGCCTTATCAGTCTCCAAGTTAGCGATAGCACTGTTCCGGGCGTATGTACTGCAAAGGTAATCCCAAGCCATTAGCTACCAAATGATCAGTACGTGTTAATCTTTATTTCAGTCAGTAAGAGTGGGGCTGTCTGGAAACTTTCGATTTATCAAAACATAAATCTAGATGCGTGTAAGGTATGAATTGACACAGGACATTTTCTTTCGCCGTAAACATAATTGGGAATTTTTGTTAGAACTCAGTTGCTAATAATGTAAAAATTTTCAAGATGCCAAGTGAAAGGCTGGGGAAGAATGATATATTTCCGTTTGCTAATGGCTTTTTCATTACAATTCATAAGCATCAATGTTTAGAGTTTCTGTGGAAAAATTACATTCTGCGTTAAAATATAACGTCGAATTTCCTTTTGGTCAAATATTAGAGATGATTGCCTTCAAGCTTAAAATCGCTCCAACTCCTCATCCAATGAGCTTCCAATGAATTTGAGAGTTCTCTTTGGCCGCACCGTTCCTTTTAGTCGCAAAAAAACCGACAGAAAGATGATCTTTCTATTTAGACTAAGTTTATTTACGTGAATTCACTACGTACAATATGCTTAATTTACAATCAAGTTTTGAAGAAAGTCCCCCCTGAAGGTGTAGCCTGTTCTATCGCTTCCTCTTGTTTAGCTCTTGCTGCTGAGGCTAACTATCATTGGTAAGCTTAGTTTTTTCTTGGGAATTTAATTTTGCAAAGCATCTCTACCAATCTCTACCACTACCACAAATACGTACAATCTTAATTCATAACCAAACGAACCGCAAAGCCTTTTACTGCCTCATCTTCAGAGAGTTAAAGAAGACTTGCACGCTATGATTTCCATCTTTCGTTCTCTTTAGAGGAATGAAATACGAAAATTTTACTTTTATTTCTTTTCCATCACTAACCTTAATTTTTTCAAGAATACTTTGCCTTTGATTTCAGCTTTTAATCTCGGTTCTTCTTTTATCTCCGAATCTTTGATTTAATCCTTTTTTCGGAATACGATTCTCTGTTCAAGTAGGCAGGTACCTCAAAAAGGAAACACGAAATTTAAGTGTTCATATAGTTCAGACAATTACTAATGGGTCACACGAACCGGGTCTCATGTCGTTACTGAAAGAAGAAATCAAGAGTATCCATCTACGCTAACGCATGTAAAGGTTTCTGAGGCCTTTCGGAGGTTCTCTACCATCAGACACACTTGAGTTCGCGTCTGAAATGTTTCCGGAAATTTACGCAGACTTCGCAAAGTTATGGCGAGCTTTCACATATTACTCTGTCACTTTGTAGGATGTTCCGGAAATTTTTCGCAGATTTTCGGTGTTTTCTTAGCGACATGTCCATCACTAATGTACCCTCTTGAAATTAAGGTCACATATTTTCCAAAGCATTTGACAGTTAATACGAAGGCTTACGCTTCACTCATTGAGATTCACTCGCATAATTGCTGATACTTTCTCTTTTTTAAACGTTCGCGACACAAATTTTGAATCTTTCCTTGTAAGTTTGAGTCTGCAAGAGAAACTCTAACTTTTTCTTTCTCTCTCGGGCGAACCCAAACCAAAAGTATCTTTCTTCATGCGATGACCGAACCCAAAATCTGCCATCTTCCTTATTTATTGTTCTTCTGTTTACAATTGAATCATCTTTTTTTCAGTAACGAACAACCTAGACAAGATGTGGAAGATTATAGTTCTACTGGTGCTTTTAGTAACTATTACCGCGGCGAAGCTTCTTGATGATGGAAAACCGGTTAGTATCTTGAAAATGGCTATCGCATGTCATCATCAATGCATGCAAGACCGAAGCCTTCTTCCCAAACTCGTGATAAGGATTATGCACGTGCGATAGGCATAGAGCAAGTCTGTGAAGGAGGTCAGCGGCAATCTCGTTCCCAGAATCCTCGTTGAGATTCGTAGTTGCTTAGGTCTGCTCATGCGCCAAAGTTGCGTTCTATCCATCATCTTTCAAGCTATAAAACTTAGGCTAAAGACGAGCCAAGAGATTTGTCAGACAAAAAAACATATATGAAAGAAATATAAAGTGATTGCTATCAGTTTGGTCTGCCAATTTAGCAGTTTATTTACGCTCAAGAGACATGATGAATTGATGTCCGATATTACTATTTTTCAGTGCTTGGGTAAATCTTGTTGGTTGGACAGCGAATGCCCGCAGTGTTCTGAAACTAAACAGGTCATTTGCCATTATGGAACTAACACGTGTAGGGAGATAGAGTTTTGGGATAAAATCATCAGAAGAAAACCGGTGAGTTGACCCTTACTCTTAAAATCCACCGTTAAGTAGAACAAAGAAGAGAACCGTTTAGGCCTTGGTAAGGTTAATTTAGATGACTTTAAAATTGAGGCTTCTGTTGAACAGTGCCATGTAGATACATCACTGTTCAAAGTTTTAACTTGTTTTTTATTCGGGGGCACAGTGGAAGACCTTGAGATATGTCAATAACGCTAAAGAATTTTAGAGATAATCTCTCGAAAGGAAGTGTTTTCGCCGAGAAGACCGCAGGAAGGCTTCGATAAAAGCGACTTTCGCAATAGAGAAGGAAATTTACACTGCAAGCGCCTGTGAAACACTCTTCCTTGTCTAGTTATAAAAAACAAAGAGAAAGAAACTAACACCAGAGAAAGAAAAAAAGACCAAATTCTGTTCAATGGCACCTCCAGTCTGCCCCGTTATTTTATCATGTTGGCACGTGGCACCGAGTATTGACTTTACAGGCTACACTTTGAAACATCTCAAATTTAGTTGTGATAGCACTTTTTAAGTTCCATCGTTGTATTTATCACCGCGTGGACTTTTTCGATGGGTAGGAGAGGTGGGGGGTTGCAATGGAGAGGAATGAACATGGATTTACATTAATCCAGCACTTCGCTTTTTATCCTCTAGGCTTATCACTGTTCATCTTTTTTTTCTATCAGTGCCACCGATATTTCAAGAGTGCATGTAGAGTTACAGCTGACTGCCATTGTGATGGAAAACTGATCTGCGAGGATAACGAATGTGTTGTAAACAGGACGAATGAAGACATTAGAGCACGAAGACATTGACCAACGCTTTGGTATTAATCACAAGAAGTTAATTTAAAACTTTCCTAAAACTAGTAACAAATGTATCGTTATTTAACATAAAATAAGTCGATGTTAATTTCTTCGTAACTCAATAACGAGTTCTCAAATAAAAGAGTACAAGTTAGATTCTGACCATATTGATGACGTTTCGCGATAAATCGTAAAATTCTCGGCTGACACCCAGTCGATTCACGACTGCATACCCAACTTTAATTTTCAACCTTGATGAAGTCATTTACTGGGATCCCATCCCCAAAATTTATTTGGCTATATTATAAATTAACCTCAACTTACGTTTTGAATAATATCAGTAACTCGACCACGCTAACTTCTCATTTCGTAAGGCAAGAGAATACGTAGCTTGTCGCTATTTAGGAATGCCATGATTAAATTGAAAATGATTTTCTTCTGTTCCTCTCTCCCTCTATTTTTGTTGTTTTTCTCTGTACTTATTTTTCGTCCTAATAGAAAATTTGTTCTTCCCGTCATTAAGAGATCTCTGTGCTTATCACATGGTTCCGCTCCGTGAGCAAATGAATCAAAAATTTTTTCGGGAAGGTGCGAGACACTTACCTCTGATGTTTTCAAGACGCGGGAGGCATTATGACTTTCAATTTTTTCTCGGGCGTAAATAGATTAATTCTAACAAAATATAGCCACGACTTTTATGGTCCTATAATTGAGCATCTGCGGAAAGGAAATTGGTTTTCCACACACGCGACCTCCCGCTAAGCGCTAATACTCACTTCCTCTTAAAACCTAATTTTGCTACTCAAAGGTTATTTCACGTTAAACGTAATCAGTGCTCTGATGAAAAAAAACTCAAACTTTCAAAATGTTCTCAAAATTTTACTTCCGTTTTGTCAAAATTGTTTTGATTTTACACTGCATTTTATATCACAACATTTGCCAAGTGATAAATCTTCAACGCAGAAAACAAAGTTCTGCAGGTTACTTCATCCAACATACAAACCGTTACCTTGACGTTCCAGAAATCGACCGTAAAAAAGTCAGAAATACGATCCATTGTTTGCAAGAATGTATGAAAAATGAACGATGTTTTTCAACAAATTTAGCGGACAATCCTGACAAGAACGGGCGTTTAACTTGCCAACTTTTACCAACGAACAAGTGCAGCGCCTCCTCTTCTTTCAAGCGGAGAGAGTTCTTTCGCCATTTTAGCTCTGTGGTAAGACAGTGTTAGTTTAAAATAACATTGAGGATCTGATCTTTATAATTACTGTTAGGTCGACTTTTTACTATTTTATTCAAAATTTAGCATCTCTTCTCTTATTTTTACTTATTATTTTCACATAATCACGATAAACACCTCTCCTAGAGAATTCTCCCACTCGGTTGGAGGCTGTGATCGCGGTTTGCCAGTACCGGCCTGTGATTAGGAAATGTCACAGTGTGAAACTTTCCTATCAAAGTAAGCGGGTATTATGGCGGCCAACGCACTATACTGCCTCCTTACTGCGAAAGATCTTTAAAAGGGTATTAATTAATATCATGATGCGCTAAACTTTTAATGACATGAAATTTTGAAAACATTGCAGGGGTGAAATAAGCTTAACTTAGCTTTTTCGTCGGGAAATTCCGCATGGGATCAACCTTTATTGGGGGCAGGGGGGGATCCACTATCAAGAAGTTGCACAAAAAACTGATTAAAATGAAAATGATCGCGATTTACAACTCAATTAGGCGTTCAAGGTAACTAGGAATTCCACTAGATTCTGGGTTTTTTTTCGTATTGTGTTTGGGAAGTCTAATGTCCTTTGTCTAGTTTTGATTTTTTCTTCTCAACCAATGAAGTTTAATTTCATTTTTGGATGCTAAGGCCTTTACATTTATCTATGAATACCAATTTCTTCAGTGTTTCGTGCAACTCATTTAAATCCATATTGTTTTTTATTTTTATTTTAACTTCCTATTATTCCTGACCTAGTCGTGTATTAAATAGGAATACCTAAAATTATTAGTGTTGCTGTTATCTGATAAACATTGCAACCAAATTTAGATATTTCAATCGATGGCAAACCGTGACGCATAAAGAGAGCTGCGGAGGAGGAGGAGGAGGAAGAGAAGGAGGAGGAGGAGGAGGAGGGGAGGCAGTAACGGGGATAACAATTCTTTCCCCATCCGGAAGACATGTTGGCTGGGTGAAAATACACGGAAATAAATGAGCCTACAAACGAGAGTTTCTAGTTATTTAGATCGCAAACAAAATGCATGACATCATACATACTGACCCATTCCTTTCCACCATGGTACCCATCAGAGTAAACAGGAAGGAACAAAGTATGATCATAGCAGGTGTCACGAATTTTACGAAAACAAGAAAAGTGTAAACATCTTTCCGACGGTGTCCAAAAAAACTGATTCAAAGATTGTACAAATGAACGTTTTAGATTTACAGCTGCATTCGCTTTGAGTTCGCATTGTTATGGTTTAATGTTACTGATGAAATCCTCTAATCAAAGACTACCAAGTGACCAAAGATTATTGGTAACGTAATACGAATTGTCAAATTTACAGGTGACGAATATCCATGATTACTTTATACAACAAAAGCAATTTTCCGTTCCCGTCTCCTAAGATCAGTAGGATTCTCCAATTGAGATTAACACTGCACGGAAAAAACAATCGATAACATGGTACAGATAAACCCATCATGGATAAGATGTATTTCACACTGGGACAAAGTTTAGTTTTCTAATTTACTCTCCAGTATTTGCTGTGACTGATGTAATCATCATCAGTATCAAACCCGAACAAGGTTACTTCAACATAACTGTCGGCTGACATTTATTAGGAGGTCACCTTGACAGCACAAGTTAATCGTTTTTTTAATTACCTTCAGGCTATCCCATACAACACAGAACCATTTACAATACTTGCGCTCAGCGGTATTGGTACTACCACCATACAACTGCTTGTGATAAGACAAAAGTGACGAAAAGTGTCCAGTTAATACCGCAGCAGTGGCAAACCTTGACAAACACCACCCTCTGTTTGCTTTAAGTGTTTATACCTCATCAATAACCCCTCCGTATCTGAGCCCCCTCAAAACGTAACAGGGTCATGAATTTCTAAAAAACAATTGTGGCCACTTTAAAAAACTATGGGATTCGCTCCATATTTTCTTCCTTAATCTGGAGACCTTTTCTTGATCCCCCCAAAATTAATTGTTTTACTCTTCGTTAGCTGAGCCTTGTAGCCTAACTGATGGCTGGATGCACTTTTCTGGTTCCTGTTACAAGGTTTTTCCATCAAAGGTGAAGAGGCAAGCTGCTTACGAACAGTGTTAATCGGTTGGCGCTCACCTAGTCACACTAAAATCTGCTTCTGAACAAGACTTTGTCACTTCTGCTGTGTTATCATCTTCAAAGAAAACATGACCTGGACTTCAACGAGATTCGAACAATGTTTCTTTCACCCAGTAGAATGATGGGTCTCCTGTGGTCTTTACAGACTGGGAAGAACGCAAACCAACCGACAAGGACACTGGCTAAAATTGCGTTGTTATGCACTCAAGCCAATGATGGAAAAAAAATGGAAAAATAATTTGTTTGCGAAAAAGGCACCGAATCGCCCTGATCCTCGGAACATACAGAAAGGTTTATTCAGAAGGAACTAATCGAGTATTTTTTCATTATCAAAAGAGAGATGATAGTGGTGTTAGAGTAGATTTAATGGATAACGAAATTGAAGCACATTCAATGTAAATTAAATTCTTAAAGGAAAACATTTAGGTGCCTTCTAGGAGGCAGATAGACCTTATACACAAGACTAATTTAAGGGTGACATGGATGTGACAGGGCATAGACTACTTAAAAGCCAACTGCTGTGTTGCTTTCATTAAATCACCTCACAAGCTTTTCAAGACAGCGTCATTTCGGCACCGTTTCTTGACTGACTCCCACAATAACTAAACATTACTTTAGTGAGTTATTAATATTGAATTAACTAACAGATTTGCCATCTCTTTTAGCAGTTCGGAGTAACAACGAACAGACTTGCTCAATTTTAACAACCTCCAAGGATGGAAGGGAAAAGAGGGAGTGGATAAGGGAGGGGGAGCGCTGAAAAGTCAATCCTAACTGGTTCGTGTAAGAAAGCTATGCATACTTTGGTCGAGGTCGTAACAGTAGCTTTCATCTGAAACTTGTCATCGCGTAATAATCACCACCGAAGATAGATAGTGTCTCCACTTTGCACAGAATAAAACGTAAGTTGTCGGAGGTCATCATCTAAATCCACCTCCCGACCCAGCTGTAAAAAGAAAACAAGCCCTTAGCTCGAAAACGTTGCATTTCAGGTCCCTCTTTAAAAGTCCTATTGGAGACAATAATGTTTTCTACTTACTTTGCTGTCTACCGAAGACAACTTCTGATCAGAGCTATCCACCTTGAACAATCGATAAAGTAATCCTTTGACTTTTCCGATTGTCATAGTTCCTGAAAAAAGACGAAAAAATTTGAACCTGTACGGCTATCAAAAGCTTACTATATTTCTGAAGTACTCTGAAAAGCAATAGACTTGGATCAAAATGAATTTGAATGAAATCATATCAAAATTAAAGCGACTGCGATTTACGTGCACTCAATAACATCAAGCCAACTGGGAGCTGATCATGATGGTGGTTCTAAATAAACCCGTGAAGTGATGAATAGACGTTTAAGAATATATGAAGGTCATATATTTGAACTGCGGATAAAGACATGAATGAAAGTGATCTTCGCAGTGATGTGCACTACTTAGGCAGTAGTGAAAATAAGGCCTGAAGAAAATTCAGGCCTGTACGGTATCGCAGAGGTCATGGGTTCAAGTTGATAGTTGATACATTGGCCAAAGTGAAAACAAAAAATGTGTTTATGAAAGATGTCTTGTCTCTGGAATACTTGCAGCGGAGTCGTACATTGAAATAGCCTCATACCAGGTAATTTCTTTGTGACAGACTTTTTATCAGGGGCATCAGGGCATGTAATTGTCACAGCTTTACAAAAATTGTGTTAAGAAATTCAACCTTATGAAACTGGACCAAAGCCCCTCTGAAATTTAAACCTCTAGCTTATAAATAAGGATTAATGCTTTTTCTAGCCCAAAAAATTACGATGACTTTCCTTAACTTTTTCGGAACTTTCTCGATGTTATCTAAGACCCAAAATTAAAGTTGAGAGATTGGTTCCAAATAATGTGAAAACGATCATGCTCTGGTGGCATTTTTTTACTTGCTCTACACAGAAAAAATATCTTTCTATCTCCATAACTTTCTAGGTTAGTGGCCTAGGGGATATTTTGATTATACAAAATTCCACGACTTTCTTAGTTTCCTGACCCATGCCAACCCTATTCTCTAGACAATGGGTCTAGAGGATATTTTGATTATACAAAATTTCACGACTTTATTCTCTAACCGGGGCCAACCCTAAAGATAGGGATGTTAAGGATACAAATTAAAGAGTCTTTCAGAGTCTTTGACGAGGAATTGTTTCTTTCAGCTTCAGAAGGAACACCGTGAACTGAAATACAAAGAAAAAATTTTTAAACATTACAACCGAAAAAATTAACCTCAGAGAGTATCAAAAGTGAAAATTCCAAGATATTCCAGAAATCTTACTGTCGCTTTGTTCAGGTTAAACTTCGCAAATCTGGAAGTTTCATTTTCTAACTGCAAGCAAGAATGATCGCAACAACCACTTTTATCTAGAAACCTGGATAATTTTAAAGAATTGTGCATAATAAACAAACCTTTAACGAGTTCTTCATATCTAGGGTGAGCTTCGATAAATTCAGGTTTTAGCACACTTTTCTCTCCTTTCCCAGGCATTCCACCGGCGTTAACCCATGAAGTAGCGTATTTCTTCAAATACGCTCGCTCTGCTATTTCTCTTTCTTTAGAATTCACCTAAAATACGATTTAAAAAAAAGCAGCACTTTGAAAACAACACATTAAACAGTAACGATATAGCAAAAGATACAGATTGAACAGTTTGAAAAATGATAACGCTTCTTGACGCGCTTGCCACAAGTCGGAACCAATCACAACGTAAGCACTCTTTATTTAGCCAATGAAGGGCAAGCTCACACGAAAATTTTCCCGCTTCTGCACTAGTGACACCAGCGACCAATCCTGCGACCAACCGCAACCGTAATTACCTTAACATTTCAAGAATTCTATAAATTTTATAAAACAAAAACAGAAACAACAGAATAACCAACGCAAATTGTTACGTTCATTTTTGTGTGAATTTCCTTAAGAAAGATTTTTCTTAATAAAGAGATGCTCTTAAAACTGGGTTTTCTAGCCTATTAAAATGGCTGATGTTGAATAATTTAAGAACCGAAACTGAAATTTCGGAGGAACTAACCGGGCTTCCATTGAGGGATGTTAGTGAAGGAACACGTGCCAGCAGTTCTTGACGACTTTCAAACGTGGTTTCATCTGAGAAAAAAAAACGATTTTTTAACTTGTTGCTCGAAACAATTTTCAAAAATGTAGCAAATGCAGCCATTTGTAATTCGTACCTTGAAAGAGAGGATTCCCTTTGAAGCGTAAACCATTCAATGAAGGAAGGTGATTCAACTCGTTGATACTTTGTAGCTTAAATTGGACAGAGAAAAGAAGCATTTGAGAACTGGCAAATATTTTACTTTACTAGTCCCATCAACCAAACATTTCTGTCTGTAAATAGCCAGGCAAACACTATGGAAAGTAGCATTGCTGCAGGTGAAGTATGCTCCCCAAACCATGATAGTGTATGTGAAATCACGACACTGGCTGCGATTTGAGATTCCAAAGATTGGCATAACCCTTGAAAAGTTCAGTTTAAATGCGTCAAAAACTCGATAGAGCCAAAGGAAACACAACTAACCTCAGTAATTATGTTGTTGCTTAGGGAGAGAGATTCCAATGATGAGAATAGAGGAACACCATCTGTCCTGTCTAAAGGAACAATGAAACAAATTTACACAGACTGTTAAATTTATGATGAAAACCACAAAATACAACAATACTTCCATGTACTTGATGTACTGACCTTGGACCTTGTTTCCCAATTCAACACTCTTTATGCCATTGTCATTTAAAATAAGACATTTCAGTCTGAAAAAAAAAAAAAAAGAATTTTGAACAGATAATTAACAATGGAGAAACTTAGGGTTTTGTATTAAACCAGTATGTAGACATGATGATGGGAAAACACAGATCATTATAAATGGCTTAATGGAAAACATAACATATTTACCACTGGAGGGGAAAAGTTTTTAAGTGTGTGCCTTGGATAATATTTGTGATTATTACCTTGGTAAATGCCCTAGTCTCAAAATCATTTTCCAATCTGATAGCCTGTTTCCCTCTAGGTTGAGAAGTTCTATATTCTGGAGTGCTTGCAGCTGAGTAAGTTGACCATCTTTTTCCCTGCAAAATTTTTTTTGTCCATTGAATGTCCAGTGTCATTCATCTACCAGCATGAATACATAATCTGATATTCCATGATATTGTTTGTCAGATGAATGCCACAAGTCTTGAAAAAGTGAAAACTGAGGGGTCATTTTAGCCAAGATGTCATTGGCTGTAAAACTCAAGTTGCATTCATCAATAATGATTGCTCTGCTTTGATGCCTAGGATGAACAAGGGGAACAGATGACAACAAACACTAGAAACAGTGGTGAAAAAGAACAAGTATACAGTGGCATCTTCAGGCCACAATACTTTCTCACATTTCAGGTTTCGAGAACAGGAAAGAAAACCAAAGGGCTGATGTCAATCTGAGATCCAGTGTTCTACCATCACAAAACCTTGGTCCATCATACAAGGAAAAGACATTTTAAAAACTCTTTAAATTTACCTCAGATTGTTCAAGCAGTTGTGACAAGCATGAAGCTCTTTAAGTGAGGGCATCATGCTTACAATAACTTCTACCTACAATCGACCAGAAAATGATAAAACAAACATCAAAATCAAATGTAACTAAATTTTAGAACACTATGCTAAATAACTAGAATGAGGCAAAGCCACAGCAATTGCAAAAATGTTTTTAAGATAGGGTTCCTTGTTGAAGTTTATGTTTCTCCTCAACTTAACTGAAAACTTATAATTTCTAAAACATGCAGTTGAGGAAAAAAAACTTAAATCAACAGTACATGTAACACTACATTTTAAAATTGCATTTATTTATAAATTTTTCAATTCCACATAACTACAGCTTTTATCTCTGTTTGCAGTATGTTCACAGGTTACAAATATCCCTTGGCCAGACTACATTGAGCAGTTTACAATTCCTCCCAAAAAACTTTCATATACACTTGAAGATATTCAATGTTTCCTTCACCTCATTCCATTGAAGCCTCATTCTGTTGAGAAACATGACTGATACTGTGCTAAATGATGGCATCAGCTGTTCAGGGTTTTGAGGTAATTTTAGAAAATTTTCACTGGAAAATGAAAAAAAAAAAAAAGTTAACCAACACAAAAATGGTCAAATTGCTTGGGCAATTATCTTATGTTTTCAAAAGTAGTTGACATGCACCTAAACTCATTCAGACATTATAAAAATGGAAGCATCTTCAAGCAAAATAACTTACTTAAGATGAATTGTCTGTAGTTGGTGTAAATTTTTTGTTATTAAAGCAACATCACTCCATGATGATATAAGAGTACCAGACAGGTCAAACTCGGATACAACTAAATCAAGTTAAGAAGAAATTGAGATGGCCTTCTATTGTACTTGAGTGAAAAAATATATATACATGATAAATACCATCACTTCTAAAAGGGGACAGTTGGCTTTAAGAGGCTTTAAAGTCGGAGACTTAATAGAAATAACATTTCAAAATTCAGGAAGGAGTAATCTTCATTTCTTCCAATTAGCTAACTGTAGATAAGCTTACTTGGGTAAGCTTATCATTCCTACCTCATGAAAAAGAGCAGAGATCCTCCCACAAACATCACAGACTAAGAGGAATTACTATGTCACAATAATTACATTAATTTTGCACAGAAAAAAATTATATATTTGTATTGTTTTCTTATATTTTGCTAGTGTTTCCAGTTACAGCTACTAATTTAAATTCAGGATACGTGGTGCTATTGTGTAAAATTCACTCTCTTTATCTGGTCCACTAACTTCCATTCCTCGTAGACTAACCACTGTTAGTTCCTTGTAGTTGCTGAAGATTAAATCCCAGTATCATGACCTCAATAAATCGTTGTAATCGCAGAGGATCAATATGCTGGTTAATTGTTAACAAATGCTACAGGAGAAGAACTGGTTTTGTATACTTTGGATGTTTTGACTTGAAAAAGATGAAGTAAAATTGGTTAAGAGAAATAAATTGTAGTTCAGAAGTATATTATGGGGCATTTGTTTCTGTTAGAAATCAGGAGTAAATACTCTTTTCCACAAAGAAGACTCCATCACATTGTATGACTTGTAAAAGGGCTTTAATTCACAATTCTCTCCTTAATCTATGATTCAGATTGGTTTCAAAGGGACCTGAAAGTGGTTATTCAAGCAACCTCTTCCTCTCTGTGTTGTTCCCACAAAAATCATTTTCCATCACTTCCCCATTCATTTCTTGACTTTCACACAAACTCTGTAACTTTCCAGGCCTAGAAAATGATACAATTGTTAATTTTCCACAACTCACACAGAGCCTGTCTTCTACAAATAACAATGAGTACCTTTGTTTTTCCTGAATAGAATCTGCGCCAACCATCTCTACAGGCTTTTTCTTGTTCTTACCGCTTATGACATACATGTCCTCTGGGTTGATTCCATTCCCACCCAGCCCATACTGTTCCTTTAGAGCATCTATGATGCTGATACCAAAGTCTACTTTCTTTGGTCTGACAAAGGAGCCACTCTTTGGATGCCTGTAATCATATGTTGAGAGAAAAGACTGATCACCACAGGGGAAGAGAAGAGGACCCACAAGAAAGAACAGTTCCAATAGCACATCGGCCTGTTCAGTCACAAATAGAGCTACTCCAATAGAGCAGACAACTAGTATTCTCTTCCATGGTCATCAGACTGATGGAGGGCAACAAAATCATTAGGCCACAGACACTTGAAAATTAAACATTCATAACTGATTGACTAAGTCAATCAGTCAAGCTTAGAATTAAATTCTGTCTTCTTTAATTAGGGCTACATATTCACAAACTGTAATGACCAAGAGTATTGCTACACTCCCTAGAGATCAAGCTGAACTATTGCAGGCCAATCACTCTTTCATGAGGAGATGCGGTAGCCTTGTGCTTAATGATCTAGAGTGAAAGTCAAATATTACCTGCATTCAAAATATTTCACCCCTTCATGTGTTCCATCATGTTTGCCTCTATCCGGATCATCCCATTCAATACCATACCACTCACCTAAAAAATATAATGAATTCCATGTTTTGATTATATGAACTTAAGGAGTCTTTCTTTAGGATAACTTAGTAAGTTTTTCTATACACTGTGATGAATTTGCCTGAAACACATGTAACATTTTCTTCCAACTAAAAGACCAGTTCAAAACCAAGGAATCAGAGTTGGCATCAATTTTTCACCTCTCATAGACAAAGCAGCCAGTCTGCACTGTACCATAGAGTACGCAAAAGTTTTTATCCCAAACCGTCATTGCCCTTTAAGTACAATTTGCCTTCTAGATGGCGGACCACCACAAATTTCACCCTTCTCTGCTGGCTAGCAACCTGATCAGGACTCTTCTAAACAAATTTGGATCAATGTCAGTATCCGAGTAACTCAGTGCACTTACCCCTTTATTGTGTTTTGATACTTCTTATATATGTACGCTGGTAAAAGTTTTTTTCTTACTTTAGCTATTCCTTATATTCATTTATTGTAGAAACATGTAATGAATATCTGGGATCAATAGTATATGTTTGTCATTTCGTCACTAAATTTCTGCGTGTTTAACATACATGAATACGTAAATCAATTCAAACATTCAACAAGCACTGAAAATACGCTATCGTAATTTTCGGTATCTCTATGACAGGTATCAGTGGATTTGAGCGCACATAGGCATTCTTTTATCTCATTGTTGATCGAATTGAACAAATAATCTGCCCACTTACCTGAGGTAGGAGGAACTTCCCCGACATATTTTATTACTCCGCGAAATCCCTCGCAGATCACTCTTTTACCTACAACTTCATCTGCCATATTGTTTACACCAAATGTTCTGGACAGCGGCTTTACAAGGGAATTTTAATAGAACACAGGTACTAATTGGTTTAGACATCCACATAAGAAAGTGACCAATAGGAAGGATTGTTTTGTCGTAATGATCTAATTTTTCGCGCCAATTTTCCTTGCTTTACGCTGTGTTCATCGACTCGGGAGTAGTAGTTATGCAACATGCCACGAGGGCGCAAACGAAAACAGGACGATAATTCTGATCGTGGAAAAGATGAAGCGGCAGAGGCCGAGAAAGAAATATCTGCTGATGAAGATAGTCCAGTGAAAAAGAAGAAAGATCTGTCCAAGAGCTTGACTTTCAAGATCGAGCATTGGTAGGTTGTTCTCATATGGTTTTTTTAAATCTCAGAGCAATTTGGGTAAAATTTCCGCACAGCACCATACTATTGTTAAACAAATCTGTTTTCCCAATGACAATGTATTGTTTTTGTCGTTGTTTTCTCTATCCAAGAACTGAATGCATAATGTAGTATGGGGCTGTGCGGAAATTTTACCGCAATTTGATCGGTGTCTACATCGAATGTTTGGATCCGTTGTTGAATCAAAACAATTGTGAGGTTTTATACCAGAGTATCTTACCGATGGTATGTTACCCTCCCCTGGGATTCTCAAACCTCCCTGACCCCTATTCTCGATTTCAAAGAGAATTAATTAATTATCTTCCATCTCCTGCTTAAAGGCCTGTGATTTAATTGTGTGCGTATTTTATATGACACACAAATTGTTTACCAACCATTAATATGTGGAGTTTTATTTAGTGAAGAGATCTAACCTGTGCCAGCCTTTGTTTAGCCACAGCAAACAGCCCATATGTAGTTAGAAAATGCATGGCCCCAGTCATATTGCGGTATTTCCACCTTTAACTTTTAAGATCTGATTGTTAATTCTCCCCTCTAGCTGCTACACATTTCCTTGTAAATTAGGTATGAGAATTTGGTGCAAGATCGACTTAACAAATTCTACCCTATAAATTTGATTATTCTCTTTACCTGTTTGCTGGATAATCTATGAATATTATAAGGAGAAGTTACGTGTTAATCACTTCCAGGGATTAAAGGGTCAGACTTCTCTTCTATTTTTATTTTTTACAGTAAATCCTGACAGGTGTATAAAAGGAATGCAAATCAGTTGTCCTCGGACTTGCTGAAGGCATTCCCAAGTGCCCAGGTCCTTATCAATGAAACTAAACCACGTTCAAAGAGTTTTGAATTAACAGCCGTGAAGGAGGATGGAGAAGGTTGGTGAAAAACAAAACATGAAAAGTGTGTCAGTTCCAAAGGGGATGGTAACAGGGTCTTTTTTTAAAGAAATGTAGAAATAAGAGTAATCACAGATTATTTTCCACATCTAACTTAAAAAAAAAAAAAAAAAAAAAAGCTGAGGCCAGTGAAACTTAGCCAGAAAATTCTGTGTAAAAGCAAGAAGCCATAGAATTCTTCAATCTCTGATTCCTTAACCCTGAAGTCCTTAATATCAGTTTGTGTCCTCTTCAAATTGACCCTCTTTCTACATTTCCATTTTAGAGTTACAGCTTTGGACTGGTATAAAGAAGGGCCCACCAAGAAAACTGAAATTTCCAGTTAACAGTGATCTTATTGAGGAAGCAATGAAACTACTCTAGTGGCTTATCATCACTCAAGGTCAGGTAATAAAAGGAATTTATTTTTCTTTAATCACACTGCGTAGGGTTTTAGACATACTCTAAACTTAAATCTATTCATTCACAAGGTTTCTTAGTCATTTAAATCAGTGTTTTCTTAAATTATTCTGATGAGGAGCAAATAATTTTTACTTGTGTATCTAATTGCAGGTTCATGTTGAAGTTTAGTTTTGGATATTTGAGGCTTTGGCCTACAAGAAACTGATTTCTGTTTTCTGTACATTGCAACCAAATAAATGACAGTCTACGAAACAATGGAGCTCTTTGCACCATTCATAGACTTGATGTAGAGTTGGACTCTGTACATTGATGAAATTAGTAATCTGGTTAGGCTTGACCAAAAAAATATAAGAAGTTGTATTATTGATTTGTGTTCATAAGGGAATCCATTTTTAAAACATTTACCTATCAATAATTATTATAGTCAGGGTTGAACTATTTTTGTTGTTGTTTGAGAAATTGTGATTAGATGCACTAACTGATAACTACATGGTTTTAATGGGATAGTTTGTCTAAAAAGTGTTTGAATGAGGTTGAAGATGAAAGGTTTGCTTATCAGAGCTTTTCTGTTCTTGCATAGCCAATAATAGTGAAATGAAACAAATAAAGAAGTTGTTAGTCTGTTTGCTTCTGTTGTGTTTCCTTATTGTAATTTTATATGGGACATAATTTTTCTTAGGCAAGCAATTCACCCTTTAAATCCCTTGGGTGACAAAGACAGAATTTTTCTGTATAATATCAATACTATATCAAGCAGACCAATGATGAGAATAAGGAGAAATATTAATTAAGGGATAATTGTTGATCCACTTGCAAATTCTCCAAACTAACATCATAAGCATTGTAAAGCAGACAGTAAAGACAATGACTTATGAGATTTGGGAGTTAAAGGGAAAAAATTGTGAGAAATAATTAGTTATGGCACATTCTAAATCATAATAATGTGATATTATTTATGTGTCTCTTAAATGAATCATTAAACTGTTTTGGACTCTATTTATGTGTAATGAGTTAAAGTTTTGATGCACACCCTTATGTCTTTACATCTGTTAATCTTTTTATTGCCCAGAGGTTTTTCCAAACTGTAAATTGAACTATCAAATAAATTTCCAGACTACAAATAGTCTTCGCAAATGGTTTCAATCCTCCTTTACAAGTATGCAAATGGCAAAACAAACAGGTATCTTCAATGTGCTTCAGTGAAAAAAATGCACAAGTAATAATTTTCAACAAATGAAACAAAAAATTCTGATTATTCTCCTTATGACATATGCTCCAGAAAACATTGATGCTGATATATATATTACCATTTATAAATCATTCAGGAGGTGTTTTGAATAAATTTAGAGATAACAAAATGTTTACCATTAAGTTTCAAATTTATACCAAACAGATTATCTGTGCTTTGGACCACAAAAGATACCTTCATTCATTATTAATGCATGACCAAGTCACAACTTATATTGAAGGCAAAATTTTAGGGGTGCGTGGGGGCCTTTTATCTTTATTTATGTTTTCTGCTTAATGAAACTGCCTATGGCAGATGCAAGGCAAGCTGCTGAATACAACAAAGAGCTTATGATACCCAGGGTATAAAAAGTGGTGCACTTTTCCTTTTGGTGGTGGTGGTAGTTGGGATGGGAGGGGGTTTACTAATCTTGATGAAAAGCAGTACCCCTCTTTTAAAAACATATTGCTTTCCAAAGGGAGCCTCTGAGGAAACAAAAGAGCAGGTTGGTTTTTCCAGAGAAGAAATTTTGTAACATTCTTTATCCCAGTATGTAGTTCTTCTGAAGTTTTGAATGACAATATCATGGCACAAGTGGTCTGCAAAAGTGGTTTAGCAACACTTGTGTCTAAAATGAAATGTTGGAGGAAATGCACAACTGAAGTAAATGTTGCCCTGCCAATGGAACCAAAGTGTACTCAATTGGGGGAATAAACTTCCAAGTATTGTGA